CTTTGTTATGTTTAATTCAATGTATAGTTAGCTCTGTTTTTACTTCAAACTTTTAAATTGATTTATAGATACAAATATTACGTAAAATGGCCTAAATATGTTTCCGGAAACGTCCCGATTTTGTTCTAAATATCTTGACAAAGTTCTAAATATCTTAAAAAATATCTGTCTTTATTTGTATACATATTACAGTAATATTATTAGTCGGCCTTATTTCAGTACCCCGAGGACTAGGGCACTGCACTTACAAGCCACATGGCATATATTATAAATGGAGAATACTGCTGAATCTGATTACTGCAGGCCCATATGGGGAGACTTGTTTGGCTTTCTGTCACTGAAATGCCCATGCCCTTATAAGAATTGAAGTAGCTTCCTAGAAAAAAACATGATTTCAATAATTTTTCCTCAACAAAATTCGAAATATCACAATTGTATTTTTTTAACCTAAATATTATGAGATTTTCCAAAATCTTTTAATTATGTCAAAAAATGTCTGGATATTTGTATCTAGTCCTATTTCAGTATCATTTTGGGATCGGGAGAGGGCTTAAAGGAGCTGTGTCACGACGAAATTCAGCCAAATTAGGAAATTACAAACAAACTCTGAAGAAGATTGAAACGGATTGAAGTTACGGTTTTTGAAAACTGTTCAGCCTAACAGTTTTTCAAAGTTGATCCCTGCTGCTTGCAACTTCAAAACTGCTCAGGAGACATATTTGTTTGTCACAGATCTCTGATTTTGTCATTTACATGTAATTTCTTTGCTTAGTTTAAGTTCCATAGCGACTGAGGGCGAGTGATTGGCAAAATTAAACAAAATGAACTGGACTGCCGTGACACAGCCCCTTTAACCTCCTTTCATAAAAGAAACCTTGCTAACGTTTCTGGTGAAAAAAAAAAAAAGTAAAATGAAGCCTTGGGGTTGCCTATTTTTTGTGAATACGAGAAAAAAACTTAAAGTCAAATTCTCGAAGTCGTTCTCTGCCTCGTATCTAAAGGTCTCTATTCTATGCAGTGCGATAAGCCCCAAACTCCCAAAAATCTCTAAATACATCATCACATCTTGTGTTCCTCTTTCAAAAGCGTTTCAGCGGGCAAGCGGTCAACGTCTCATTGTCACCCAGCAGTCCTCTCTCTAAAAGCAGGTCTAGAAAGACTGGGGCTGCTTTAGGAAAAAATAGCTGAAATTGAATTGATGACGTAAATAAAATCCAATTTTTTTGCCATTTTTTTTCTCCTGAGATTGAAATACACTAAAGTTCAGAGCAGACACTATTGGACTATCTAAAAAATTAAAAGGTAAACGTCCCCGGGTGGGCTTGAACCACCAACCTTTCGGTACCCCCAGTTAGTTAACAGCCGAACGCGCTAACCGATTGCGCCACGGAGACTGTGGTAACTTCCCAGTTTACACCTGCACTTATTGGCATGGATCTAGTCTCACAACTACGGGCAGGAAAGTTTTTCCGCTGCTGGTACAGTACTTGGTGCCCGACCTAAAGAGAGTCTGAATTACGCAGATTTACGAAGCCCGATTACTGTCATGCAAATTTTACGCCCTATTTTACTTTTTTCGACTTTTCTCCGTCGCCTTTGGGTGTTTTTTATCCCGACTATTTTCTCGACTTTTGTCTCGATTTTTTTTTCTCTCTCAGTTATTCTATCGACTTTTTTCTGTTGTCCTAACTTCGTGCCAAGACTCAATAGAAATTTTTTTTTGTTCTCTCAGTTGTTGTCAAGACTCTTTTAGTATATCCTGTTTTGTATATCATATTGTAGTGGCCATAAAGGAAGCTTATGGCTGTTTCAGTGTATTCTTTTAACAGGTGCCAAATTCATTTAACGTTTCTTTATTGACCGGTTATTTCCGAGGATAGAAACAACCACTTGTTCCATTGTAGTCTCTGTCTTTAATATTGAAACGGTTCACTGAAGTGAAAGTCCTCAGACGCGTTCACAAAAGCTCTGTACGTTTACTTCTTAGCCAAACCGGAAAGAAAACACATTCAATTCTCACCCGTTGCTGTTGTATTAGACATAGGAGTCCCCGAACACGAGTAATGGTGTCAGTAGCTTTCGGGTAAAGTATTAAGAATAGATTTAAATAGAATGACTAATTGATTGTGATGCCTCCATTCACTGACTAATTGCACTTTATTTTCTTGGAGTTACTTTACGGGTACGAATGCATGTCTAACAAAAGTTGCGGTTAGTCCGTTCTATAAAATATATATTACTGTAACGCACCTGGAGCGTTTGCAACGACATCATTCAACGATTTACTTGCCCTAAATAAATCCCCGTAATTCCTCTGCCAACATAGCTGCTACGAATTTAATTATGTAAAGCGCTCGGCACTGAACATTTGGATCATGGAAGTGTGTTACAAAAGTTGTATAGACATTTGGATTTCAGTGCAAATATTCGAACCTCCAGCTTTGCCTCCTTTTTGTCTTGGCTTCCTATATAAAAACACCCTTTACATATCCAGTTTATATAATTCACGCAAACGCCTTCTGAAACTTTCACGGGTTGACCATATACCCGTTTTAGGGCGAGTGTAACCAGTCCAGAGAGACAGTTGGACCCTCAGAATGTTCACCAAACAGTTTCTCAAAGATAGGCGTCTTTTGTCCTTTCCTTTTATTACAAGAGGACCTCGGAAAACAGACCCGACTCTTATCTATTTCAAGCTGTTTAATTCTGATTTAATTTACAACAGTAAATTTTGTCTTCAACCTGATATTTTTATAATTCAGGTGCTCTTGTTAAGGTGCCAAGAAAATATTTTGAGTTTACGTCTACATCTTTGGTTATATTAATGCATTGAAGAATTGAAGAAAAGGAAAACCGGTTTGAAAAATGGCATTTAGGAAATTTAAACCAAAAACGTCTCTGATAGTAGACAACTGCCGATCGGGCCTTCGTTTGTAGTCACACGCCCTGTTTCGCAGCGACAAAGGCTTGACTCTTACCAGGTTAGAATCCATTGTTTTTTTTATAGTCTATTGACCATAGATGTCAGAAAAAACTGAGTGGTTATGTTTTGTCGAGAGCTTAAAACCGACTGTGCCATTGTGATACAATTTTTTGTAGTATTTATTCGCTCGCTGTCAGGGGCGCTTTATAACACGAGGCTAGAACGCGGGTAATAACCGATTTCCGTAGAATGCAATAGTCGCGTGGCGAGGATGCATATTTTTTAGCGACTTTAACCGAGGAAAGATTTACGGAGAAAGACTATAATTGAAAGGTATTCAATGTTAAAAACCCTGATTTTTATTCAACTTGCCCTTGTTTAAAATGTAAGAGTTTAAACTAAAGCGTCCACGCAATTGTTATTTTCACTAGTCTTTTGTTGCTCTAAGCTGTTTATTCCGAGATGATATGATTATTCTATATATATTGAACCACTGTAAAATATAAAACGTCAATTGAAACCGCGCGAAGAGAGGAAATCGAACATAAACGTGGCGCGAAACTATTGAGGAAACTTTCACGCATGCGCCTGTCATTATTTGATCACTCCGAAATAATATTGACCGCGCGATGTATCTTTAGCTGCAGAGATTCGCTTTACAACAACAGTGTTTCTGCTTATGTCTCCCACAGATTTGGAATGTCTGAACTGCGTAAAAGAAAAGTTGTTCCGTTGAAGGATAGAAATCGAAATTCGTCCCATGCGAACGGCGGATCAAAAAGCGGTCGTGCGGCCGCCAAAGTACCCGACGAAAATGGTGGACCGTCTTGGACTAGTTGCGGAAATTTTCTGTTGGGATCAATAATAGCCCTGATCGTAGGAACAAAATATGCCCTCTACGTCCGGGAACTTCATGAGAATGATATGTGGTTTTCAAACATCGGGGTTAGTAATGTGACTTTAAATACACTTATTTTAATCATGCTCAATGTAAGTGTGTTTGGGCCGTTAAGCTTATATTTTCTGGTCTGTATAAATTATCAGGGCACAGTCTTAAGTCTTTATAAGTTAGGATAGTCCAAAATGCACTTTCGATCAGAGAGCATTATTTATTAAGAACGATATGTAGTTTGATCGTAAGATAAGCATAAAATAGATTTTGATATTTTAATCTTTAATTCTGAATAATAAGATTGAATTAAGCTTTACATTTGACTGTCCGTCCAAAATTAATTCATATTTATTCCAGAAGAAACCATTTTGCATATTTTTACCGCAGATAACACAGGCTTAATATCCCTAACATAAATTTTTAAGACTTATCAAGGTGATTTTAGATGACTATCAAGTAACCATATTCATATTACAGCATAATTTTTACAGCAAGAAGGAATGTAAGAAAAAAAATTATTTAATTTATTTTTTTTTCTGTTGTCCCATTGTGCTAATGAATGAAATATCCTGCTGTGCCTGTAATTAACTACCTGTATTACGTTTTTTCCTATTTTTAGCAACTGGAGAGAGAAATATCCTTTAGGACAGAGTCAGGGTTATATTTTTCATATTATAAGCAGATTGTTTTAGCACCATCATTTTTTCAAGGTAAGCAGTTATTTTCTGATAATCTTGTCTCTCTTTCCTGCAACCACGACTCAAAGCTGAGTTTCATAATTATGTACAGAATGCACTCATCTGCAATCCATTTTGGCAATTAGTTTCTACATAGTTAAACCAGGATAAGGGAAAATCC